TTGCAATGAGCACAAACCTTTATCATGTAATCCTGCAAGACCTACTTCATTACGTAGCTGCACCCAAGAAATGCCAGACGATTATTAACAGAATCAGCATAAATCATAATGCATGCGTGTTCATAAATTGCTACCCCTTTTCATGGTAAACACATTTGAGCTCATCGGAATCAGTGGCGTCCCGTCCACACGCTCCGATACCCAGGGCATAGAGGGCTGCATCTCTGTTCATTCATTAAATTACATAGAAATTACATGAACCAAGCTCAAAAATGAAAATAATAGATATTTAAGGAGAATTAAGGGAAATTAGAAGGTATACCGCTCAGTGTAATTGAAATCCAGCTGCAAACAAAGCGAGAATTGATCAATCTCAAAGAAAAAGGACAAGCAAATGAAGAGGATTGCAAAAAGTGGATACACCTCGGGGAATTTGTGAGAGAGAAGGCGCTGTGGATCGAAAGCTGAAGAATCCGCCATGTTAGATACTGAATCCCTCAACTGGAGCTGTTAATCCTTAGCTATTGGATAAATAATGCTAAGAAATTCAAGTAGACACTGGTGATAGAAGATTGCGCATTGGCTTAGCTGTCTAGCCGTCGGGAAATTCTACTATACAACGAGGATATCAGCTGACGTGGCATCTCCATCCAATAATAAGCTGACAGATAATTAATTAAATTAATACAGCTCATCATTTTATAAATACAACTTGCTGAATTTTACTTAACGGAGAAAGTTTCCGTTTAGAGGCTCAAAGCTTCTCTCTCCTCCCGGTCTACAGTCTGCTCTTTCATCTCCTCAACTCCTCAGTTTTCTTTCTTCAATATCCAATAGAAACAAGAAATCATTTTTTATTTTTTGCGATTCATCAATTGCGGCTTTTTGTAACAACTGTCAAATAAGTAAACTCAAATCCAAAGGAATCTTTTGCCGTTTGCCCCTCTTCTTCCTTGTTGTTTCTCTTTCTTCATTGTTCCTGATAATATGAAGCCAGAAAATAAAATTCCTCACTAACAAAAACTTCATTGATAGTCCAAAAAAGAAAAAGACAGAAACTTTATTGACATTTCAGATTAGGTAAGGAAAAGGAAATCTGGGATTGTAACATGGTTGAAATGGAAGAATGTGTCTTAAACCCAAAAAAAAAAAAAAAAAACCTAGAAAAAAGGTAGAAGATGCTGGGATTTCCACCTTGAATCCCTAAAAAAAAAAAGGATTTAGAAGATGCTGGAACTTCGAAGGAGTTAGCGTTGAACGTTACCCAAAAATAAAGTTAGCATAAAAATGATTTCCACTTCTTGATGACCCCAACCCATCAGTACCAATTTAATTACCCAAGTTTTATGCATCTTCTTCTTGCCTAGAATGAAGATTTAGAGAGAAATTGATGGAGTGGGCAGATGGATTTACAAACTAATTTGATGCATTAGGCTTGGAAAAAAGAGATTAAGGAGGCCTACAAGTATCTTTGTGCATGTGGAAACTGCAAAGGAGAAGGATGAAGGCAACCAAACGACAGAAAAAGGAAGACGAAACGTTACGTTGAGTGTTTTGTGGCCCACAACATAACTATGTGTCAGTTTATAATTGGTTTGGGACACATCCTACGTGGTATCACTGTGATATAGTAAACTTTCTCCTAGCCGTCTAGGTAATGTCTTATGTTTATCAAGATTTTTTTTTAATCGAGGTTTTTGTTAAAAAAATATTACGCATTCCTGGATATTAAAAGTTATTATTATTCAATAATTTTTATTTTTAAATTTTATATAATTTAAACTTTAA